TTAATAACATTTATTTGCTTAACAAATCAAGTAACTGCGGTAACGCATTAAAAATATGGGTAAATATGTTAGAAAATGCAAAGGAAATCTGACATGTTCTGCGTTTTCAAATCGGAATATCAATCCCTCCGGTACCAACCCATGGGCAGCGACACAGCAAAGCTCTTTACCGCCCTATTGACATTTACCCTCGACACGGGTATTCCTATCTAAACCGCCACAAATGTCAGATATCATAAATCTAGGGCTAACAATAGATAATGGGTTGGGTTGGTGGAAACAACTATCTGTACAATACAGAGCGAAGTCCTTGAGTTGCGAATATATCCGACTTTTATTTATATACATGAGGGTCAGAGAGCATAAATGTGTGTGCTTAAGTATGACAATCTGTTACCGTACAACTTTTATTTTTTATATGCAATAAATACATATTCGTTTACTGCTTTTCCTTGAATGATTTTCATATTTAACGCATTGGTTATTTATAATTTCACAATCATTTCGTTTATGTTCACTTTCATTAATTAATGGATTCATGTTATAAGTTGTTTCAGCTTATAAATATTATTCTGAAAGTGTGCGTGTGTGTGTGTTTTTATGTTGTTTTTCGGTGATTTTGTTGTTTTGTTTTTTCTTCAATCGTTTTGACTGCAAAATTTGTATGATTTTCAAATTTTGTTTATATAGGTGTTTAAACCTCGGTGACGTTCGTTTAATTTCGTTGGTCATAACCTTTTTGATAAAAACGAATTTAGTAAGTCTTGGATAAGTTTGATAAGATAAAGAAACTCGAAATTGATTCTCTGAAAAAGTATTCAATGAACACCAAATATCAAAACCTGTCATATATTACAGATTTAATGTCTATGCTTTAGTTAAGTCAATTAGTGTTTCGCATGTTCAGACAAGTAAAGTCTAATACTGTCTTTCCATTGTTCTTCAGAGACTAGTCTATTTTTAAGAATTGATTCATACAAAATATCAAGAAAATATCACGTTGTCAAAACTAGTAGGTATCATTATGTCAAGAACTTATAATAATGTCCGGTAGGTATCATAATTCACAACTTGTCAATAGATGTTTTAGTTTTTTTGTTTTGTTTTGTTTTTTTTTTTCTTGTTTTTTTTCAAGAACTTTGGGGATTTTTATTATTTTCGCAAACCATAGATAGATATATGTACTTGTATATCGAAGGTTGTCCTGGAAGTTTGCGGAATTGTATTTTACAATAAATGTACATGTACTTTATTTTTAGTGGCAACATACACAAACAGTATTTGCTTTCACGAAAAATAAATATTTGATATTGGAAATGGTTACCGATACAAAATAAATTAGGCTAATTTACTAAAACAGGTTTTGTAACATTTCACGCCGTCAAACATTATCACACATTTACAAAAGTCAAGAGAACGATTCAATGTCTTCGTGAAATTGCTTGCAAATACAACATGCTTTTGTTAGTCTTTGAATAAGTATATTAATATGTCTAGATTTATCAATTAAGCCTACAACAACTTTCAGATTTTAATAAGTTACACGGTGATTCAAAATGATGTCCTCGAAGCATTATTTTTTCCTAAAGAAACACAATAAAGTCCCTCTGAGAGATGTCGAAGCTTACTGCGGGTGTTCTTACGCTTCATATACTATTAGCTTTCTCATTAATGTAAGTGCACGCTGTTCGTGAATGACCTATTTCTAAGTAATTATCAATATTGAAATAGTTCGGCTAAATCGTCATAAAATACACACTTTATACACGAAGATTAAAAGAAAATATTTGACAGTGTGATATCATGTTTGCCTTTTATTTCATGAATTGTTTCATTTCTTCTGAAAACAAAATTAATTAGTCATTTAATTATCATAATTGTAAGGACGGATATTCCATGTCCAATGATGATGACAAAACTTACTATTCTATTTGACATAAAACTAGAAACATATTGGACTAGGGTGTCAATATCAAATATCGTTTTTACTTGCACTTGTTATAATTCTAAAAAGAAAATAATTGAATAAATACATGTAAGTGTACTTTATAATTAAATGATTATAAGGTACTAGAATACATTTCTTTTGGATATATATATATATAAAGATTCAACAGCAACGCTTAAATATATATATTTTATTTTATTTGCAACCAAAACAAACTTCAATACTTTAACAAGAAGCATAAAAATTATAAATACAACAAATCATATCAGAGTAATGATAAATATATTTCTTCTCAAATTTGTGGTTAATGACAACGATGTTTTAAACTGAAAATAAAATGTGTGTTTCAGTGTTATATTATGACAAAATATGTTTCGTTTATATGTTTCTTATACTTCGACTTCTTTTCAATATAAACATAAAATTATCAATATTTCAGTATTTTGCACAATGGTTTACTTATAAATATACGGCATAAATGTGATGAATACGGGTTAAATCTTTTCAATTTGGTTTTGTTTACGATTTTTACCAGACTAACAGAGTATAAAAAAAATATTGTGGCGTTGATATAAATACTCATATTTTCAAAGGTAGGATACTACGTTATCGCGCACCTGCAAAAGGCTCCCAACCGAACTCGTTTTCTTTTCTTTTTTTTGTAAACATCCCGTCGACTAGAAGATAAAATATGTTTTTTATTCTAAGAAATCATAAAAATATCGAATTATAATCAAGCGCAGCAAAGATTTGATTTAGTACTTAATAAAATTGAAAAAGAATTTAACGTTTTACTGCCTAGTTTAATCCTGAAAACGGAATAAAGTGTTTTATCCTAAATGCTCCCACTAGTACCTCCGTTTTCAGACTTAAACAAGGCGGCAGAAAGTTAACGTTTTCACAGTTGTATCAAGTGTTTACGCCAATCTTTGTGGCGCTATATTATATTTTTGATATTCTAACGATGCCTTAGAATAAAACAACATACTTTATCTTCGAGTTCGATAGGATAACAGTCCGATTGGGAGAATTAAAGTACACGATGACGTAGTAACCTACCATAGATTTTTTTGGATTCTTGACATAACCTGACTATTATATAAATTATCCTTATATTACCTCTTGTGCTTGAAATAAACACAATATTATCCACATAAGACAAGTACTGTACAATGGCCGTATTACGTCATAATAAACGCATTATAAAGTCACAGTTCATTTATACACAATAAGAAGATACACTAAAATAATCCTTACCATTAGCATATATACAAACTATTCTATTCATTTTAAAGCAAAATACCCGTCGCTCCTATTATATGTTATTTTACAACGTTTCAGATTAAACCCAGAACAATATGTTATTTTACAAGTGTATTTACATATACCTACCAAGTAATATCATTTAAATAAGCAACAGAATATAAAAGGCAATAATAATGTTACTATATCAACTCACGGACAATAATTCCTTGTGAAATGATAAAACGTTTTGTCCCATCATATACTTTTACACAATGTAAACGAAATTTGAAAGAAAACCTATGTACATGCGTTTAAATGCACATTCTATTTTTTACAATGCACCTAGAGAAATATCATTTTATCATTGTATTATTTAAATATAAGACTTACAAACTAGTCTCTACTTTAAATGCTCCTTACTGGGTAGCCGTATATAAGGTGATGATAATGTCATATGTAAAACATATAATACCGCCATACATTTGTACATAACAATTTATGGTACACAGGTATTCAAAAACTATTTAATAAAAACATCATATGTTTTAAGACTGCTTTTATTCCGCTTGTTATCATCATCATGTACATAACAATGTGTTTGTAGCTAAAAATCAAGTTATAAAAGCTAAAAAAGAACTTTCGCTATTAAACCTTGATGTATTTATGTTATCATCTCGATTAGTCAGTATGCAAGCGGAAGTTAATTGTAAAATATCACTGATAAAAATATACAATATCTAACAAAATACAAAATAGATTAACACACTTCCGAGACAAAAATATTCGATATTGCTTCCTGGAACAAAACTTAACATTTTAACAACTGAATAGTATTTATTAACATTTTATTTCAGTACCTTAGAAGGGGGCGTCCGTGGCTTGTCCGTCGTTGACTTCGGACCACTTGCCCCTCACCGCTGGGGGTTCGAATCCCGACGGGGACTTTTGATTTTTTCATGTGAGGAAGCTATCCAGCTAGCTTACGGAGAGTCGGTTGTTCTACTCAGATGCCCAAATAATGCACAGAAGGGCACCTGAGGTTCTTCTCCACCAGTAAAGCTGGAACGATGCCATATGACCTATACTGTGTCGTTGTGACGTAATCAAACAAACAGTATTTTAGAAAATTAAAATACTAACAAGCCGAAAAGTAAGTTATAATTATTTATCTTCGCCAGAAGAAATCTTATGGAAAATTAACTGCGCACAACCTTTTATCACTACTATTTTTACGGTCTTTAGCATTTGATAGCCTTTCTTTTTAAACATGTTATCTATTGGCAATCGTGCAACTCACTTAAAGTGAATTGGTCCAGAACAGATAGTCTGTAATGCCATAAAAGATTAATTTGATAGTATTTAGTGTCAAAACAAACATCAAAACGTATATGAGGATGTTGTGGCTAAGTATGACAGTATCCATAACTTCAACTCTATACCCTTATGTAACAGGTTAAAAATTTGCTCCAGCGCAAAATAATATTATTCAACATGTTAATGTTTATATTTGTGTTACATGTTTATGTTTATATTATATCACTTAGAACGTTATAAACTTTTTTCCCATGAAATATTCTGTTATAAAAATATCCAAATGATACATGTTTTTTATTTGTATCAATATTTGCAATACTTATGAACAATTTGTCTGTTGAAGACCAATCCACGATTAATTATGCATGACTCCCATTCAGCATTTACATCTGTCAAATTGTTTACTTTTTGGCAAATATAACCGGTTTCATTTGACTATGTCGATAACTTTCAACGTTTTCGCAATAGTTGTTTAAATCATTTCCCATGTATGATCATGACGTTGTAACGTGCATGTTTCATTTGTAGATGTATCTAAAAAGTCAGGCGGCAGTTTCCATTGTCTGTTGTGGAACACTCCTATACTTTAGTTTTCCATATCCGCAGCTGCAGCTATTTAGGAATAGTTTTCTAAAGTTTTTGCTGCATCCAATGCAGATAAAGAATTTCACAGAAAAAGACGTATAACTTACAAACAATAATATAAGATGTAGCAGTCCTTCGGCGTCACCTAAGTGCTGGGTCTGCGCAAACATAAATTTAAGTCTCAATACATGGCTAGGTGCGTTTAGCACCACAACGCTCACTGATAGAATGTATAACATTTTGGCAACCCTAACTTGAGGCAATTTCCTGGAGAAACTGCCACCTTTGTCGCCTCCACCTTCAACATTTCTTTTTATGCTTCTTTGCTGCTTCTTCTGTATAGATTGAATGATAGACAATGTCATTAAAGTAAGAAGAATGACCAATAAAGTCATTGGTACAAGAAGCGTTAAGACGGTGTCCACGTACGACACCGTCTTTTCATGACGTTGAAACTCTGCTCGTGTCTTACACTGCATTATCGTGCGGTTTACAGACGGGTAGGTTACTGGTTGAACCTGAAATATATATGATGTTAAGTTATTTATATTTTTTTAATTGAATATTTATTAATTTTATGAGGGAAACAGACATGTCTATGTCTACTAGAAAAAGCGGTAAAAGTGTTTCAATTGATTTAGTGTCATTACGAAATGTATATTCCCAAGGATCACATGAATGGCAACATCGTTATGACCCACTTTGTTACTGAAAAACTATTTGTATATTTATATTTAATTCCAAAATTATATGATATTTTGTCATTTGTATTTCATTCCCAAATGATATGATATTCTGTCATTTGTACGTGTATTTATTTAAATATCTCTTTTGAAATTGTTATTGCTTCTAAGGCAAAGCGACATTTGTATGTGACAATTGATCTCGGACAATGGGTCTAATGGTCTCTTGTCTTCACCGCTGATTCAAAAGTTTTATCTGAGATTAGTATTTCGTCTCTTGCGAAAAAATTGGTAATTTTCTGGTTTGTTATTCAGGAAGACCAGCTGGTTTGATCGGCCAGAATTGACAAAAATGTATTAAAATTGTCGTTTTGAAGCAAACATTGCCATCGGCGGATTTATCTAAATTCATGGTGTCACCATTATTGTGTTTAAATGTTAGTGAACTCTGCTAAAGCCGGTGCTAGGGGGCATGGGCGCTAACTTGCAATTTCCAATACTGTCCATGAATAGGTTCAATCAAACAGAGCCTGCAATATTCTCAAATTCGTGTTGGGGTTTCTTTAGGGATTCTGTTTTACTCTTTTTACTGTATAAATCTGATGAATTAACGAACACACATTGTAATTTTATAAATAACTGTCTTACCTCTGTAATAATTGGTGATGTTATGTACAAAACCAAAGCTGTTAGGAGCAACACTACTGCAACTGCCCGTGCACGAAATAACGTGCACATCTGCTTTATTTTTGTAGGATGGCATATCGTGATAAATGTTTCCACCGTTATACAAACTACATACCTAGAAAATTAAACATACGACATTGATTAATCTATAAAGGTCAAAGTGTTATAAATAAAATTTTATATATATTATACATAGCTAAATATAATTTGAACTTGATTTCCTGTAGTGACATGTATCTCTTAATTAAACAAATCAAACTATTTTGTCGAGTCAATAATTATTCTATGAAATGTATCCCTCAAAATATGCTTTAACAGATGGGTTGTTTTCGCATTTACCATTATACGAAAACTAATCAATTTCTTATTTCTTAAAATGAATTTTAAATTGTTTTCATTTGAATTATTTTATATATGAGTTAAATTAAAATTGATTACGTACCTTTTTGTGCGATTATTTATTTTATATTGATTTGATAATTTACAGAAATATTCCAAAGCACAGATCGCTTTACATTTAACTTTTAAATTAACCAGTTTGAGAGATAACTAAGTGAGACAACTAATACATTACAAATTAAACTGTTTGTTATCATTATATATTATTTTTCCATTTCTGAATGAGTATAAATTACTTTTGTTTATTTAGCAATTCCTATATCTTTTAATCACTTGTTTACAATGTAAGGGAACATCAACGTATATTTGTTTCTGTTCTTTTTTAAAACCTATATCGTCTCTTTCAATGTGCATGTTTCCCTATATAGCATTCACTGTAAAACAAATCAAAATGAGAACCTAAAAAATGAAGACATCAGATGTTTATTAATGTTAACAATGGTGAATACATTGTATGAATTCCATATTTCTTTAGAATGTATCAATATAATACAACTCTTTATAAGCTGTGACATTTGAAACTGAAATATGCCGATGAGAACATACGTTGATTGGCAAAATTAATCATTTTCCCCAGTCTGGCCTATTGTGTAACATCTGTATTATTGATACGGAGCCGAGGGTGTTATTTCAGTTCAAGGGTTGCAAATATGCACTATTACACCTGCGAGTCAAGTGGAATTGTTTATTTTACCGAACCAACATTCTAATATGGTAAAACATTTTAATATAGTAGAAGGTTTGTAAGAGCCAACCAGGGGAGGCAAATAGAACAAGAACATTACCTTATTTTAAGTCTATATAGATTACCCGCCCCTGGCAAATATTACGAAAAAATGGGCGATAAAACACCATGTGCGTCACATAAGGCTTTGCAGTAAAAAGTGTACGTAAGGTAAAATACAATAGAACATTGCATGATTATGTTATCCTAATGGGCACTAAGCTTTACAGCTTATATAATTTAATCAATAAAACTAGTAAAATGCACATTTATTACTAATATTTTTTAATCGTATTACATATCTTGTCGCAAAAAATCTGCGATCAAAACCGAACAAAAACTCTTTCTTCTTGAACAATAATGTTAATTTTTTGTCAAAACACATTCGGGACGTAACATCTTGAGTAATTTGTTTGCGGGGTATAGACAAATCGATCTTGTCATTGTTTTTAAATTCAGATTTCATCCGACAGATTTATTGATCAACTAAATGTTATTATATAAGACGTAATGAAGGACAAATTCAAATGATATTGACATAAGAAAACAAAACATCCTCAGTTGGATACGCACTTTGCCTCAGAAATCCATTTTTGTAACAATTCTTTAGGAATGTCAAGCATGTGTTAACAACAAATGTGTTGATAATAGATCAAGACCGTGTACGATGAGTAACAACTAAGGAAGGTAGAGTTGAATATGCTGTTAGGTGTTAAAATGTAGCAGAATGTTATATGTAACGAAGTAGTATTTTGACTTCCATACAAAATACTATAATTATACTAGATGGCAACAGACGCAAAAGGTAATGTATATGGCAAATGTATATGGCAAATGGGTATTTACTTTGAAACTGTAAAAAGATTCCAAAACAAATAATTAGAGTTTGAGAAATAAACACGACATTTCTGAGGTACATGTTATGTTATTAATTATCTTAAGGAGATATACACTTATATTACTTTTAGAATGCCTTATGCTGTAATATTGAACAGTAAAGTTGTCAGATGTGCATAAATATAATCACGAAGGCCATAAACATGAGTGGTTACTTACAAAAACGAGCAATAGATAAGATTAATTATCGAGTACGTTGCCGAGAAAAACACAAAACCATTCAAAAAGCGTAAAGATCGCATTTTGCATCAGAGATTTTAAAAAATGCTGAACGTTATATAGAGATGTATCATTGTTATGGTACATTTTCTTTATATAATTCTCCCTCACTACTGTTTATTCCTTGACAATGATGAAACAAAATTTACTTTTTATTAACATCCTTGGCAAACATTACATATTTCATTGAAAGAATGGAACTGCACACGTCTTTTCTGCCTTTTTCGGACATGTTATGAAAAACACAATGTCTAATAAGTCATTGGTTACAAAAGCTACAAATGATAAAGGTATTAAAAACAAACATGTTTTCATGACTATATATTAATATTTTTGAGTTACCTGCAACAATAACACAATTATGCTCAAGCATTTGACTTTTTATTCTAAACTGAAACAGCTACATGAGTTCATGCATGCCATATCTATTTTGTGTGCTTGTTTCTGCTTGCAAGAATTACACAGCTGAATATTGGCTCATAAACTTAATGTTTTAACTACGGTTTATAAGTACGTTTGTCAGATTCTGTCCCATGAGTACACGTAATCTGTCATCTAGATAATTGCAGGGAATTGACTTCAGATTACTTGCAAAAACAAAACTTTAAAAGACAATGTAATAGACTTGTTCTTTAAATGTTAAAACAATTGTCTCGTTTGCGCTTTTCTAATGGGCTGTTCAAATGGAATATAACTTTTCATGTTGTAAAGATAAGATCATGACCTTAAGGCAACCAAGTAAAAGATAAAAAAACAATGTTGTTTTTTTTTTTTGTATAAATAAAATCATTTATCTTTGAGAATACAATATCTTTGAACTTAAACGTATCTGTTTTGTAAATGGTCGAGGTTTGATTTTAATGGCGCATTAAAAGAAAAATAAGAGACACGGACCCAATAACTGAACTACAACATATGATTACATGTTATAAAAACAACATTTAAAGTATTCACATAAATGAAGATGTTGCTTGTAGTATACAAAGTGTCGTCGCAAGTAACAAAAACGAAAAAAAAAGACGATAAAATATGTTGTCTTGTTAGAGTTTTCGTATTGCCGGTTACCTTTTTAAACATATTCTTAAATGAAAAAAATACATATATTATTGAAATACAAATATTTTGACTATAGTTAAATATATTGGCATTTTGCGCAGAAAAATCGTATTTAATATAATAGATTGTTTCTGCAGATTAAATTAATGTTGTTGTTTTCTCTATTTTTAATTTTAATTTTATTTATTTCGTTTATTTGTGTGTGTATGCGTGTGTGGGGGTGTTTTATTTTATTTTCATATGCTTTTAGCTAATTGTCTCGAATAAATTAAAGCTTTGATTGCAGTTTCCCGGAAGGTATAATGTAAATATTATTCTTTTGATCAAACGTTTTCTATTGACAGAAAGTGTTTTAAGCACTTTTAATGATATCGAGATCCATATTTAAATCATTTGTACACATCCCTAAGGACGAGATACTTTACATTAAGATCTTATAAAAGAGTGGAAGGGTAACTAATTATCAGTTTACTTCATTAAATAATAGTTTAAATCAACATATAAGATAAAAGGCATTGCTACATTTCGAGAGGAATAAAGAAGTGCATTTTACGAAAACTATCGTTGATTGAACAAACATAAAAAAGTATATTAATATTTTATAACGTTTGAAACAAAATACATGGATAAATGTCTCAATTATCTTACCAAATCGACAGAAATCCAAATACATATGTCAAGTAGACATTTGCCCTACATACAACAGGTAAATGGTTTATAGGATAGCCGAGGGATTCCAACCAAACCAGGAACAAGCTGAACAACATGCCCGTGTCAGACGCCAACACTGACATAAGGTATATGCTGAAACGAAATAATGGACATGTTTAATAAGATAAAATTATCAACATTTTAAAATTAAACTGTGTTACAATGTTTCGCGAATGTCACGAATGTCACAACGGGGACTTTGTTTGATGCCTTCTTGTTGCCCTGCTGTGGTAGCTTAGGTGTGTTGGGGCAGCGTCCTTTGAGCGATGAAAGTGTCGACAAAATATCTGATAAGATAATTAAAAGTTGTTTATCATCTATTGTAAAGATGTGCATCGCTGACATTTTATCTTTTCCCTGTATAACTGCATAAAGTGTATACGACGAACGTCTATAGTATAGAAGAGGAAATAGACAAGAAAGAGACATGGACCATAGCGGTTCTTCTTTTATCAGGAATTGATATCTTAGCATAAGAATAAAATGAAATACTCTCTTTCATAAAACGTCAGATATATAAGCTTTTTATTGATTGAATTATGTAAATGGTATACAAGTAAATCCTTCTAGCTCAAATAATATTTCATTGAATAATCAGTAGCCTACAGAATATGACAAGACAGTCTCGTTTTTGTTAACATCACATGGCATTTTCACTATCACATTAGGCGATCATACTGAGGCACACTTTACATATAATTGACCGGACAATATTTTTTTTCTTTTTTGTCTCTTTTTTGTGAATAAATGAAACGAAAAATCGTATTTGAGTCAATATAGTGTATTATATAATTAGGACACAGTATAGTATCCTCAAAAACATATAAAATTCACTTTACCTATAGTAGATTTATTTCGCTTTTTTCAATCAAAGTCACAAAATTACCCTTTTGTATAGAAGGTTGTACCGCATTGTTTAGTCTGTAGCCATTTAAGACTGTTTTAATATAGTATTTAATGAAAATAAAGCTATAAACAAATTCGTTTGTTAAAGATCGGTCGCTTGACATGACTAAGTGCACAAAATTGATTTGTTTTATACGGAAATTGAATATAGACACATACTGAACACAACTATATTGGAGAAAGAAATGTCATTGAAATGGAGGCATTGACTTTTTTAATGAGGGAAAACTTAAAAGTTGCTGAATAAACTTTGTGAGACATAAAATCATATACATATATGACATATTATTTTCTATTTCTTTTATTCAATCTTACTGTTTAATTCTAAATTATATGAACTTTATATTTGAAGATGTGCAATTTCGAAGAGAAAATATTGCATTGCATAATACAAAATGAAATGTACGAGAGCTCGTGAAAATGTTCGAGTACATACAAATGCATAACTCATTTATCTATGCCTATCTTAATGAAACATTCCACGCTGATAGTTGAATGAATATTTTCGGATGCTAAAAGAACATGTCTTATGTATATATAATTACTGCAATGACAAACAACTAAAAGACGGTGACAATAAATTGGCGTATAACTGCGTGTTTGCACAAGAAAAAAACATCAAGGAGGAGTTTTCTCATTGACGCGTATGCCACTGTAAGTAAATATTTACATGAAATAAAGAATATAATGTTTAATAACCAAACGGGCATAGCGTTAAAAAAACTTTTCAATTTAAACATTTTATGATAAAAATGTTGTTCTTTAATTAAATGATTTTCTTTTCAACACTTTCCCCTTTTGGTAAATATTTCGTAACAACATCCGGAACAATGTTAAAAACAATCAGATTGGTCACAAACCAGTACATTAACAGAATGTTGTACACGTATAAAAACATCCAGCAAGCGATCGAAATAAATAAATATATAAATAAGAAATATAAATAATGAGTGCGCTGTTATAGAATAATGTACGGTTCGAGTAAAAATGCGCAATAATATGGTTACGAAAGCCGGTTGGCTTGGGTGATTAAATACAAAGCATTTGAGTAATAAATCGTGTATTGCAATATTACAGGGAAAGAAAAAAAATATAATTATTTCCAATCTTGCTACTAATACTACAATAAATTAGGTAATAATGTGCTGATGAATTCTGAGCGGAGAAACCTTTATCTTATCGCCATGTGGTTTATTGAAGTCACATCTCACGTCATATGACGTGTAAGCATTTTATTCCAATTTTGTGCACATATCGTCTAATGATGACATCAACGGCCTTTTTAAAAGGCACACAATGTGAAATGTGTACGAGTTTTTAATAAATTATATAAATCATATACATCTTGTATTTATGTCTGATGAAATAATAATATATAAACCTTACCTTGAAGAGACATTTCTCATCTGTTTGTCAGCTAATATGACAATTATTGACGTGAAATTGCCAATCAAACCGATAAAGACAATGAACGGTAATATGTACACATACAGCACATACTGAACTTGCATCTTGATATTATCGTGTGCACCTCCTTCGTATTGTCCAATTGTATTGTTTGTAAGATTTGTAACATTCATGCTGCCGACATGAATCTTGTTTCAGTGTCAACCGTAACACCTCTGGCTGGTTAATTAATATGCAAGCCGTGCAATAATTGTTAACACTTTAGCAAAGCTATATCAAAGAGAATAATATTGTCAGTGTATTGTTTCAAATTTATAGCATTTTTCTTTGTAAAGAATCATATTAAATACACGTTTATCAGCATTGATCAAGTCCTCTCTAATTCATTCGATACAATATGCCATGTATCACTTTCAGTCCAATATTATATCAAACATCTGCGTTAAAAATCGTTGTTTATCTTTCCAGAAGCTAATAAATAAAGATTCCTTTTTTCCCTTGTTACAAAGCTGTCGCTTTACAAATCGAATTCCGCACAAACAACATGTGGTTCACCGAGGAAACTGTTTATCTTAAAATTGCGAGAATATATATTGTCACTGCAGTGTATCGCAAGTATCGTTATTGGTCGGTGCTAAAATCCCCTGTCGACACTTCATTCCGCAATTCTCTCTAGTCTCTATGATGATTTTGTTACTAAAATGAAATAAAAAGCGTCAAATAAATAGGACATTGTGTCTTGCAAATACAGATATTGTCTTACATGTACTTTATGTCAGTGTTTATAATTTTATTGTTAAAATTTTATTCTTGATCTACCGGAAAATGAATGCAAAACTTACTTTTGTTAAAGATTAAATACTATTTAAACGGTACAAAAGGCGTGTCAGAAATGTCCCACTTTAAATGAGTTCATAGATTACAAATGGAGATGTTAATTTATATTATTCTGTTAAGTTCAATTTAATTTTTATTTATTTTATTTTTCTTTCATTGTTTTTGCGCGGGCTCTATCCTGTTCTAAAATGTATTACAGTGCAGAAATGCGTGCAAACAATACAATATAAGTGATTTAACTATTATATCGTTTAGGATATTTCAGATTGTTATGATATGATTCATTGATGTTTACCAAATGTCAGTGAAAGTGATGACACATTTAATATGTATAAAAATCATATAATACTATACATTCCTGAAATAGTATAACAAATTATTCAACAATATACATATATTTCCAACATAACAACATAACTTCGATTATTTTATTCGGTAGTGAACTCATAACAGTGATCCTATTTAAAAGTTTCGTAAAAAATGTAAGTTTTTGGGAAAATTAGTGCAAAAATTACAAAATGCATATAAAAATTAAATTGGGGGTTTAAATTCGTAACAAAGTGAACCATCAAGATTTCACAACCACAATTAAAGAGATATCGAGACTGTTTAATTTGAAAATTTCCCATACAAGTATAACTTATTAAATGGGTAAACTTTAAACTTTAGTTTTACTAAACTTTGCAATATACTTATTACTAAAATGTATCAATGGCAGAGGTTACGTTCAAACGATTGTTTTATACAATTTCGGTGTTTAGGAGAATTTTAACAATCATTGCTTCATTTATCGCCTAACTTACGCCTGAAATATGTAAGGAGTTTAACAATGTATTGTGAGATATATCACTTATGAAATGGAACATTCCATAGCAAATTTAAATGTTATATTGGAAGAAATAGGAATGTTTTTAAGCTATAAAACATATGTTTGTATTTACAATGAAACATAGCTCAATAGTATAATGTCGCATCTGGGCACATGCAACTGTGCATTGCATCGACGTTTGTGTCGCTATATAACGTGTTAATATCATTTCTCATATATAATTGTATTGTAAAGCGAGTCTGACATTGATAGATATTGCTATAGAAAATCACACTTTATTTGCAAAATTTACTATAAGTCAATAACACAGTTTCATCTACCTTAAAATCACATGCAAACATGAACAATTATATTTCAAGGACGTAAAAGAATATAAAGAGTGTTCTTCTAAACAACTACAGAAACAAAGAAAATAGTTTAAAGTTATATTATAATAAATAAAGACTTTGTGAAAAATATGTAACAAGTGGCGAGTTCTATCTGAATAAGTACAAAACGAAATTTTATTATATAATTGTAAGAATTTGAGCCTTCGAGTCAGATGAAAAAAATATTTAGTTTGTTATATTCAATTGCCTAGTATTGACCGTTCTATGGTTGCATTTTTACACAGTGTCTTGTTCACGTGATTGTCGTCCATGCAAATACAACATGTTATTTATCATTCATATGATTTATTGAAAAAATGGCACATGAATAATTTGAAAAAAAAATCCGATTAGTTCAATTTGCAATTCACAATTACAGTACTGTAATATTTTGCTTTGCCAAGTTTGTCTGCATATAATAAATAAATATGAATAGTATATCACGCATTGCATACTATAAAACATTTTCTCCTTTCCTATAATGATCACAATTTAGTCAGAAAATGATGGCAAGTGTCCGCTGTAGATAGAAAATTTGATTAATACACACTTATTCTATTCTTTGGCATGTTTTCATTTAATTTCCAAGAAAAATAGTTTAGTAATTAGCATTTCTGTCCATTAAAGCTTTAATTCACCAATCAACTATGTACATAATGCGGAATGACTGTAAGTGATGTTACTGAGTGCTTTATTGTTTAATTAAGGCTAATTTCAATAATAATATATGGCATAGAGATAATTCTACGTATAATAAATTTACGTATAAATATTCTATTGATTAAATGTCATTTTCAGAGAGAAAAAAGTGTTTTAGATTTGCAATTACAATACATGCATTTCAGGCTTTTCTGGCAGTCCCAGTAATTCTAACACTGAATTGTTTTGTTAGATAACTTTAAGGTTAAAGTAAGTGCAAAGTGATTGTTAGACTAATGCTGAATTAAAGTAATATGAATAAAAGTTTACATGATAGTGTAGAAAGGTTGTATATGTTTATCATGTTGATAAAGTTGATATATTTGCAAGCAAATGTTTGACAATAGTAACACGCAGTATTGTCAACAAGTCACGTTATTACTGAAATATTGCAAAGATACATTTTATGCATTTTGATTAGCAGCGAATCAAAAGGGAAAAGTGACTATTTTCCGCGAGTGAAGATTGTTGTATGGTTGTATTGAAATGGAAAATAGTTTCAAACCACATAATGACATTACGTAGGTAAGATATACTGCAAACATAGATTAAGGTGTATATCAGTCTATTAAATTACTTTAATTCAAGAGGAAAATGATTTATTTCAATTAAAAGATTTTTTTGTTCAAAGATGATAATCAGGTTTCAAACGACCCAGCGGTTTCAAATTGAGTGATGTATTTTGAATATTGTGTAGGTTGTCAAGTGAAAGATCTACTTGCCATGTATGATTAAGAAACAATTCAGTTACGATGGTGCAATACTAGTTTATCGTATTTAATGACATGACTTTCTGATCAAACAATAACTAATGTAAATGGTACTGATCAAGCTGAAAATGATATGTGTTTACACTTTCCCTTTTAGATTGTACTGTACATTTAGCATCTAAAATAATTCATATTTAAAATCAATCTATATGGAATAATGTAACAATAAACATCCTTGAGAAATTTCCAATGCTCTTTATATCCTTCAAGCTAAAGAGAACAACAGCTGTTGCAGGTAATGACAGTTCATATATCACCATCTCAGCTTGATTGTGTTTCTTTTTTATTCCTTTCAAGATTTATTACTTTTCTTTATCAATCATTTGACTATAATTGCTTTTTCATTTAAAAAGCATTATGATACTTATAAATATGAAAAAACAAAAAAATATATATTTCAATCAAGAGAAATATAAACTAATTTCAAAAAGGGTTTGCTGATATAACATTTTGTTACCGGGGATGTCGATAGTTAATTTGTACTGAGGCTTTAGACACGCAAAAGTTGTATTTTACCTAACATGTGCATATTTGTGTTGTCTTTTTAGCTCTTAATACTAAAAATGCATCATTTTTAAAACATTTTGATATAATATAATATAATTAAACTTTTTATCCCCTAACATTAGTATGGTAATAGAATGATTACACGGAATATCCAATTCCAAGACAACGTCGTTGGAAAAGAAACAATGTGATATGAATTAGTTGCGCGCAATATTGATAATGCTAAGAGAACTATTTACACGTATTTACTATTCTTGCAATATATAAATCATTATGACGGTACAATTTGAATTTTCTAAACGTGTTGTCATCCATAATTGTACAAAAGAGGACTGAAACGTCTAATTTCGTGCAAATCTGGCAAAAGCATGAATATTCATTTAAAATGCGGGCTCGAAGGATGAGCGAGTTTTAGGCTATAAGGCTATTTTTACATACCGTTCTGAGTCATAATTATTAAAATCATACAACAACGGCGTGTGCGCACGTGGGTTTATCCAGTTAATGCATGCTTTCTTCTATGATAATGTATACCTTCGAGCACTGTTTTTTTGGAAAAAAATATGTTAATAAAATTATATGATGGTGGGAACATGATGTTTCTAAAAGAAAATATATACTTACTGTAGTATAACATTTGTCACACGCATGCACGCACACACGCACATTCACACACTAATATGACCACTGAAGCTTACATATTTGCATGACCTAACTGGAGAAAGTGTCAAATTTTATGGGATTATGTTACATTTGTTAACTAATTCGAGTTTTCAATTAGTCTAGACACAATTCCATAGAGAATGAGGCTATCACCATTGATAACTTCACACCGTAAGATGCGATTAACGTAAGAGATGTTGTACTAAACTGTGTCATTATTGTGTGTCTGTTGTCTGTGCCTCTAATTTTTGTACAACATGCCATCTATAATCAATTGCGCTTATTAATTTGTGTTTATTTTTAACAACTTTCGTCTTTGTTTTTTATTTAGTTTCAAAATGGCAAAATGGCATGAATGCAGATAAAGTTGTGCACAATCCTTGAAAAAATAGGCATGTTTTGCTTAATACAAAAAGTGTTATTTATTTAAACAGTATAAAATAACTATTCATAGTTTGCGATTAACACTTCATCATGTCATTAACATGGAAAAATAAATTTGAAGTAACAAACAGTGTTTGACATGGAATTAATGCTTTCTCATATTGGAATTGTGCTATCTAAGTGAAATGATAAGTGACAAAGTAATAACATTATATGTAATCTAATTAACTGATTAAGGCTATTTTGCAAAATATGTCTTTAGCAAAATATCCCAATAATTTTCTACAAGAACGCACAACAGCGTAGCGATACATATTGACAATAAATGGTGGTCTAGAATGTACAGTGAAATCGCCTTTCACAACGCCATGAGAAACGAAAAATATTTCTCCGACTGAACATTTAAAGATTTAATCTATATACACGTATCAGTGTTGTTTTAAACATAATAAAATCGTATTCTATCATTACTCAAGTACGTTGGTTACAGTTATGGTAAGTATGAATGGTTCATCTACTGATATGTATACACAATGTGTAACTATTTTCATACAAAAATCAAATCCCGGAAACGTACCATTAACCTTTTGGACGCATTCTTTGCTATGCAGCTACAGAATATCCTGATATTTTTGCAAC